CAGGAATGCTTAAGCATACTTTCAGGTCTATAAGATACTTGGGGAGGCAACTAAAAATGTAATACACCTAATGTGTTTGTTAAAGTGTAACACCTTCAATCACAGAAGCCATAATTTATTTTCAGCCACAGTCAGAGGTCTCTCACACAAGGTGTGGTCCTAGACCATTTAGGCTTTTCATCACTAACTTTATATATACACAGGTAATTTTAAAAAGGAATTACAGCTCAACTACTTACTACAGAACATTTAGCTTCAGCAAGGAAGCCATTATCTTTTCAAAATGAGATATACACCTGCATGAAAGGTGTTCTCTTTAAAGTAAGAGTTTTCACAAGAATAGCAAAATAAGTTCTTTACATACTTAATTCAAATAGGACAAAAAACTACCAAGGGCAAGTATAATGTAGCACTTGTGTAATCAAGTCATTATTTGCCTTTCCAAGCAGATTCAAGAACATATTCATCAGTATAAACTGATTTTAATGAACAAACACTGGGCAAGGGTGCTGGTCAGTGCATCAATTAGAACATTACAGTGTTCTCAGACAGAATTCTGTGCAACCAAAATTTAAAGGAATCTTCATGTATTGCCTTAAACAAGGATTCAGTCTTTTCTTACAACTGCTATTTTTACAAATGTTTCCCCTACTGAAGCAAAGTAACATGCAGAAAAAACAGATTTCTTCAGATTTAAACCTAATAATTTAAGTTAAGATAGATGGAAGAATTGTTAACATACTTTCATTTTGAAGCAAGATGCATCTTGCTCTGCTTGCCCAGTGAAATGAGAAGTTTTATTGGGGCAGGGATGAGAAGTGTGCTTATGCATTGGTGTTGTCCATGCATCAAATTTCATAGCTCAGAGATTTAAAAGATTATTATTTCATGAAGTATTTGCTAACATTGTTTAGAATTTAAAAACAGGTATCTCTCTTAATGAAAGCCTATAGCTTGTCCAACTACTATTACCAGTAATATAAACAGCAACTGAGCATAATAAATTCCTTTCAAAGACATTTACCTTTTGAAGTCAGAAGTGTAACAATCAAGTGCTGGCTCTGTGTTCTCAACAAAAATCATTGAAAAAGAGGACGGTCAATGACTTTATCCCCCACCCCCAGGTTACATTTCCTTTTATCTACTCAATGATAGGATCAATTCTGCTTTCAGAGAAGCAAATTGTTCATGCTGATATAAATGCAAGTTGGATGCAGCCAGTTTCAAGCACAGAACTGAATCACTAAGTGCATTCTGAAGACCATATCAGACAAAAGACCTTTCAGTAATTAAGGAAGGTTGTTTGGGTTTGTTTAGGGTTTTTTTTTCCCCCTTTTTTCTTTTAAAGCAAAGTAGGCACCATCGTTGCATCCCTACTTTGAGAAGCGAAGAAGTGGAGAAAAAAGTAAAACAAATTACAAAAGTCCTCAAATATTTTTCTTCAGGAGACCCACCATCATTTATACACTTTTGCAACTTGTAAAATCCTTTGTAATTTAGAAGAATTTCAAATAAATAGGTCTACAGTAACTAGCAACTACTAAGTCAATATTTATCTTGCTCAATATGGAGTAAAACTTAAAAGAAAAAAAATCACATTAAGGCAGATTTCAATCAAACATGTTCCAAATTGCACAGTTATGTTGGTCAGTGGTCTAAAATGTTTTCCCCAGGTCAAAGAGTTAAAGTTATTTAAATGCTTGTCTAATGCCAATTCAACCTGACACTTGACCATTTTATTTTCCTCTGTTTCCAGGAAGATACACAACTAACATTACATATACCATACCGTATATTTCACACTCCAATTTAAGATGAAATTATGCTTTTACAAAATGTGAGATGACTACATGTTACAGGCTTTGTGCAGTTAGACCACCATATGCATAGATGTCCTAATGCTAAATTCTCTTCTTCAGTATCTCATGGTACTGGAGGCTCTGAAGTAGGAGAGGAACTTGTAACACAGACTAACCACAAAGTACCAGATATTTCTTGCCATTTGTGATCTTGCAATAAATATACGCCAGATCAGGATCACAAGAACTGTATTGAAGCCATAGCGTATATTCCTTAACCTAAGGAAAAACAAAAGAAATAGTTAAAAGCCAAGGTACCAAGACTTACAGGAAAAAAGAACACTAAAAATTAACTTCTAATTTAGAATTTAATTTGTTCATCTATTCATCCCAAGATACAGCACGAGTGATATTAAGTGAATGATGGAAGTAAGCTGATAAGTGAAGGACCAAAGAGACAAGGCTTTTCCATAGTTCACTGCTGAACAGTGGAACACATGAAAAGCAAGCAACAGAACCAGCCATGTAGCTAACCACATGTACTTCTGCTTTATGGCCACTTGATAAAAACCTCTTAAAGCCAAGGTCACACACGGTAACCTACAGAAGGCTGCCATCCACCCCAAAACCAAGGAAATATTTAACACAAACTCCCCTTCACTTATTTAAAACTTCATATATAAGTAACTCCAACTGCTGCTCACAAAAAAACCCCACATCATAAGTTTTTCCAGCCACAGAGCCCAGAGTCTTCGCTGCAATTTTAAACTCATTCCTTCTCAGAGAACTATATTTAAAGAGGAGGAGAAACTAAGTGTCCTGTTAGGGCAACTGTGACTTTTAGTGGTCTTCTCACATGTAAGATGGAAGCTTCAAGACAAACAGCAACCAGAATTCACTTAGATTTCTTAGAAAGAGAGCAATCTCTTTGGTTCAGTGGATCATGCCAATTTGAATTTTAAAAGCAGCTCTTTTTAAGGAAATAATCACTGCCCTTATCTTGTTTTACAGGTAGGCTGGGTGTTACTATAGCCAGACCTTCCTCTATGTACCTTATTTGTAGAAAAAACAGTCTAAATTTCTGTATTACACAAGTAAAGCCCACTTTTCTATTTAAGGAAAAATTCTATTCAGTAGTTTACTAGAGTAGCCAGGTCCCCTAGGCTGCCACATCTGGTTAATATCTGAATTTGAGGAGTCCATTGTTTCAATTAGTTAGAGCTAGATGGTAACAGAAGAGACCAGCTTAATACCTCAGAGTAAATACATGTTAGAATCTAAACGTCTTGCAAAATAATCCACTTATAAACAGCGAGGCAACCAGATGCTGTTCCAATACAAGACTATTTCTCATGTTATTTGTGGTACAATCCTTTGTACAAAGAATGGCAACTGTGTAACTCCTATACATTTTTTAACAGCATCTAAGTGAAAAAAGAATCAGAAGAGGACCCCTCTTCTATCCCCACCGTTATCAAAGATTACCATCTTTCAAAAGTATATTTGAGATTGTAACATATCGTGCCAATCCACTATACAACTGCAAATCCTTGTCTTTAGAAGAACAGCACAAGAAAGACATGACCACTGAACCACTTCTCTTTGTGTTACCAGGACAGCAGAGTGAAGTAGTATTGCAGAACAAGATTAATCACTTATTTCACTTTTTAAAGAGACAAATCAAAAAGTCTACAACTGTCATTATGAATCAGCCAAGAACAAAACAAGGGCAACTGTGCCAGTAAAATTCTGGACAGTAACAGTGCCTTCAAATTGAAGGAGTTAAGCCACAGATAAAAGAGAAGTAATCTTAGAGCACCAATATCAAAGTTTCCTGCTCTGAGGTGGAGAGTCCATGCCCATTTATTCACCTGCTTCAAAAGATCACATTCCCAGAAGAAACAACTATTGTTCTATTAAGCCTGATTAACTGAACAAGCCATTCTGACCTTGTGTTACTGTGTAACTTTTTACCTTCCAAAAGACACTTGGGTAAAATCAGAAACCTGGATTACAGTATACACTAGTGAGCAGAGCTACAACCATAATCCCAGACTAATACAACAACTATTAATACTGAGAGCAACTCAGAAGCAACAGAGAAAGATGACATCTAACTTCTTTAGAAAATGCTTCAGACCACTGGACTGGAACAGAAGAATTCTGGAGGACCTAAACAGGTGCTATAAAGAACAATTAAGTCAGAACATGGAAAAGCAGAACTTGACAAGGGCATGAAAACACAGAAAATATAAACAGAGGAAAATAAAAATTTGTACGTACTTAGTCAAGTGTTTCCTAGCTGCAGGGATGCCAGACATTTCTTCATTCAGCACATACTTCTTCATTCCCATGCAGTAATTTTCCATGTATTCTGCCCAGTGTAGTTGTCGAACATCAAAATTAAACATCTGCATAAAATAAAAGCTTTCACTGTTAGTTGCCTAAAAATTCACCTGCTATATATAATAATTTAAAGGAAAAGTATAAATGCCTTTATAGCAGACAATTCCAATTTGTCTTTGATGCAAGAAATTTATCTTGTCCTTAAATCATAAGAACGATCCAGATTTAGATCCCATTTTTGACTCAACCACCAGCTTCTTATACCATCTCTTCCAAGTTTCAAGCATTTCATGCCTTATTCTTCCTCCTCAGTAGTAATAGCTTGCCTTCTACTTCCAAGTGCACTGCTTTCCCATTTCATCTAAGGAATTTCACTCCAGAAATAACTATTTTTATTATCTTGTTTCCTTTTAAGCAACAAAATAATTCTAATATGCTATAGAACAAACACTGCTCTATGCCAAGGTCACTCTTCGATAAATGCAGAGTTCTTTTAGCTGTCCTTATAGTTGTACAGCCGTATTTTCAGAAGAACCATGTGAGTATCTTCCTCAGGAGAGGTAGTTACTACAGTAAATTCACAACTCAAGTTTTTCACTGATGTATTGATTTCTTCATCTCAAGATTCTACAATAAAAGCTGTTTAAGTCCCAATAAATACCAAGATTTTCCTAGCAGGTTTTTAACTGCCAGTTTTATTTCAGCTAAAAGAATAAGCAAGATCATTATAGGAACAAGAGACAAGTAAACAGTTTTGTGCAGTGGAAGTGTATTCAGCTTTAAAAGTTGTTATACATACACTAAATTCCCAAGTCCATGCTTCCAAATAAGCTGCTTAACAGCATGCCAGGTGTGTTATAAGGTATGATGAAAGATAAATCCATTACAGTTCTGAAGACAATCCCTCACATTGGGTCTTTGTAATTTAGCATTATTTGTAAGTTAAAGGTCAGCATGTAGTTCTAGTCATGATATAATACATACATGCTAAACAGCCTTCTAGTACTGGTAAGTTATCAGAATCTCTCAATTAAACTTTATTTTCCATAATATATCATCATAGCAAGAATGTAAAAGTTAAGAAAGTGAACCTGTTGAAATAATGGTTGAAACTTTTTTATTGCCATATGCACATCTTATTGAAAATTCAGCTATTTGAAAATACTAACAGTCCAAAGCTCTAGGATTATTTTGGTTTTGTTTTTTAAACTTTTCCTGAACTCAAGTTACTGGGGGGAGGCAAGAAGAAGGGGTGGAAATCCTCTCCACACAAGAATCACCAAAACCTATTCCATTTCCTACTTTTAGACAGTTTATTTATAAGTTTGGCAGCTTTTCTTCAACTTAACTACAGAACTAGATTCTGGAAAATACTTGAATAGGGAAGACATCTTAGAGATGGCAAAACTGTTCCAAATGCATATGGGAATTTGAGTTTTTAAAACTACAACTGATTATTTTTATCCTGCTGA